GAAATGGCGTTACCCTTTCCATCGGTCTTCTTCAGAGCACTGTGAGAAACTCATCCTGTCTAAGATAGGCATGAAGTGCGTTTTCTTCTTGGGGAATCTTTAGTTCTTTATGTCTAAAGAAATGCTTCATCCTACTCAAGCATGTTCTTCTACTGCAGACTGAAGCCACTCAATTATGTTCTCTCGATCACTCAATTATAAATAATGAAGAGATGCAAGTTTGCTAACAACTTGAAACAAGTGGTATTAATGAAAGGAAGAAATTGTGACAGAATGATCCAGATAGTAAGAAGATGTATAATTTCATGAAAACATACAACAGCCAGTGCACTTATGGCAATACACATCAGTAACCCACAAGCAAGTATGGTATTCAGAGTCTAACAAGCATCTCTGTCATAACATCAATCCTCAGAGCAATGACGTAGTATGTATTGCTTCAGTGAATAATTTAAGTAAAGGTATTCTTAAAAGATTCAGATTAGGAGAAAGGTGTGTAAGAAGTTTTTCTCCACTTAACTGAGGCTATTTGAGAGAAGTACACCCTCAGAGCAGATGTGCCAGCAGGTTCATTAGCTTTACAAACTCTGGAAAAGCAGACCACTGGGAATTGCTACACAAGCACCTCCTTGTGGTGCTGAATACTCAGAGCTGAAGATGCGAAAAGGACACTGAAAATCTTTTGGAATTTTGCTTTCCTTTCTCTGAGGCAAGCTCTGAGCAGACATTTATGCAGGAGTTCACTGAGGAGGAAAACTCCAGTAAGAAATTCAACCTTCGGAGGGATTGCAGAGTTGTTACCCCATATCATACCGTATCTCTTTTCAAGCTCTCAATGTTTTTCCTCAGAATGTGTAATCAGTGATTAAGATAATGAGGACCTAGTCTGAGAACAACCATAGCAATTTTTAATAAATATATATATGCTTTTGTCATAGTGCATGTACCATGGTTCTGGCTTTATCATCTTTCTACATAGCCTAATACAATTTGAGAAATCCTCCTACATATCCCCCACAGGATATCTGACACAGAGATCACTTCTTAAATGTCTTAAGTTGCTCAAAAATAAAGGACGAGCTACTTTTTGACAGTTATGATATGCAAATTAGTGAAAATCGGGTTCTAGAAAGAAGATCAGAGGAAAAAAAGTGTGATTTAGGTGGAATTCAAATATACTTTTTGACAAGGACTTAAAGAAAAAAGTCACAGAACAGAAGTTCACTCTGCACAGTGAGAGGAGAACTGCCTGTTAGAGCCTGACGTTTATTCTTCTTTCTCAGAGGAGTTTTTCCTATTACCAGATAAAACAAAATAAAATAACAAAGTGTTTCTCTCGTTTTGAAAGATGAAACATCTTATTTGCCTGTACAGAGCTATCATCTCACAGTGATTATGTGTCCAGTGAAAAGGCATCGGCTAGTTCTAAAAAGTTCTGGTGATAATCACTTGCTTTCACATTACATACTAGATGTTGATTTGAGCTGGCAGGTAGACTTTTTTTCTGTGGGGAAAAGGAAATTAAAGTCTTCTAGTAAAGTATGCAGAAGTTGAACTATATGCTTCCCTCATGAAAATCTCTCTCACTTCACAAAGAAGTACTTTAATATAGGTGATTTACTGGACTGTAACAAGATACATTATATTCTCACAGCAAAAATGAAGTGGTAAGATAGCAGTTTCCACAAAGGGTGGCAGGAGAGGCTTCTAAAACTAAAAGATGAAACGACCACTCTTCTGACATTGCTGTTCAGTTGCACAGATGTCGCTAAAAATCTGAAGAGCAGTATTGTCTAATGCAAGATGAAGAAACCAGAACAGGAGAGTTAGCAAAAGGGTTGAAGGAAAAAAACCACCTGTTTCTTTGACTCAATGATTTTATTCAGTTTCTGTCCTTTGTATCAACGCCAGTGAGAGAACATCCCTGAAAAAGACTGGTTAATCAGGGCCTGACAGAGTCAAAAGCTTTGAAAGCTACGAGTTCATTGTAAAAAACATAAAGATGGCCAGTGCTGCCTCTTTAAGGCTTTTCAATGATACTTTCCTACATAGTTTAAAAAGTTAGCTGAAAGTACATTTTTTCTGTTTTTAATTCTAATCATTTCTTTTTACAATAAAATCATTTCTTCAACATCCACAAGCTACAGTGCAAAATGGAATCCACCCAAGGGTGCTGAAGTTACTGGCAGAAGCGATTGCCAAACCAATGCCAATAGTGTATCAGCAGTCCTGGCTACACCAGGAGGTCCCAGCTGGCTGGAGCACAGAGAACATAACATCCATCTACAAGAAGGGCACGGAAGAGGATGTGAGGAATCACAGGCTGCCAGCCTGAGCTCAGTGCCAGGGAAGGTCATGGAGCAGATCATCTTAATTTGCCATCACACGGCACATCCAGGACAATCAGGGAGCGAACTCACTCACCATGAGTTTGCAAAAAACAGGTCATGCCTGACTAACCTGATCTCTTTCTAATATGATGAACTTAGGGGATGAGGGAAAGACTGTGGATGTTGTTTGCATGGACTTTAACAAGACATTTGGTACTGTTTCCCACAGACTTCTCTTCAAGAAACTGCTGATGGTTTCTCATGCCTTGGACAGGTGCACCGTTTGCTGGCAGGATGGCCAGGCCCACTAGGTTACTGTGAATGGAGTTCTGTTTGGTTTGATAGCCAGTCTGTAGTCTGTAGTGGTATTTCTCAGGGTACTCGATTCAATTTTAACATTTTTATCAGTCAACTGGATGAGGGGATCAAGTGTACCCTCAGTGAGTTTACAGGCAACAACAAGTTAGGCAGGAACTGCTTGAAGGTAGGAAGGCTTTACAGGGATCTGGATAGGCTAGATCAATGGGTCCTGTCCAGTCATATGGCATTCAACAAGGCCAAGTGCTGGGTGCTAGGGTCACAATAATCCCATGCAGTGACACTGGCTTAGGGCAGAGTGACTGCAAAACTGTGCAGAGGAAAACGATGTGGAGGTGTTAGCTGACAACCAGAAAAAGGTTCTCAAACAGAAAAAAAACAAAAAGGGTCTGTTCATGTACCTTGCATTAATAAGTAACTGCACTTAGATTTCTTCTTGACCTAGTCTGGCCTAAATCTGTATTTCTGCTTACAAATGAATATAACAAAATTGTAGGGCAAAAATCAGTGAAGAAAGCGCTGCAGGAAGTTCACTTTGTTCCTCAGTCAATTTGCTGGACAAGTTGATAAATGAGAAATGATCACGTTAGAAACAACAACATCAACTTTGTCCACAAAAAGCTTACTGGAGGCAAAACCTCATAAATACTATTAGTTAAAACAACATAAAAATATAAATTTCCATTTCATCAAGGTTAGACAGTCTTGTATGCTGAGAATTTCTCTGATGTGGTTTTAAACTGAAGGTTCTGATGCTAGGAGATGCATCTCTGCTGGCCCTCTGGAGATACAAGAAACTCTTGGACAAAGACTAGCTGGTCTTACTACTATGCCATTTTACTATTACAAGAAATACATACCATAAAGACAGCTATACCATAAACAGTAACTTCTTTTTATAATATCCCTGTCTTGTGTAAGCAATACCTGTGTCTCTAATATCAAAGTTAATGTGATCACATATTGAAAAAATGCTTGGTACAAGCACTGACAGGCAAGAATAGAAACTGGTGCACTTAGTGATCCTCCTATTAAAATATTGCTCAGGTATGGGTAATTAATGGAAAAAAAAATTGAAAAATGACATTCAAGGCTTTAAAATTCATCATGAACAGATGATGTGGGCTGAATCCTTGTTAAGTAGATATCATTATATTTCTATGTCTTTTGTGATTATGACAAGATAATCATCTCCTCTGAACAGGGCATTTTAAGGTTTAGAGAAATAGTGTACAATTTATTAAATAATCTATCAAATTATGTATGAACCTTGCTTTCAAAAGAAATCCTATGATCTCATTAAAGTAATTACAGAAAACCTGCCTGATATAAATAACTAGTACCAGCACCACTGGTATACAACTGAGAGAATAAAAAATTGTAGGAACTTCCAGTATTCAAAAGGTGATAGGATAGCTTTGTTCTCTTAAGATAGTCAATAGACATTTCTATGTTAAACATCCTGTGTGCAGAATCAACTTTTGAATCACAGCCTTCAAAATGGAGGGAAATGCAACCACTCTGTAGCTATGCTAATAGGAAATAATCTGGATATGTTTATTACAGCCTCCTTTCTCCTTCCTTTCCTCACACTTTTTTTTTTGCTTCTTCCTCTTAATTGTTATTGAAGAAAAGAAACAGGAAGAGTAAAAAAAAAAAACAACAAACACAACTCTTCTAGCCAGCATAATGATTACACAGAAGGAGAAGCAAAGGAAAAAATAAATAGGAATTGTCTTAACTTTTTTGTTAGATTTTTTTTTTTTAGAAGAGCATGGGCAAATAAAGGAGATGAATAATTCTTAGGATGATAACCTGAACCAGAGAAACCACCAATTTTAAATGTCATTCCAATTTCAGTTTTCTATATTTGTGCTTCTTCTAGGGAAACATAGGGCTTTCCAGAGCAAAACTGGATGCTTGGTGAGAACAATCTACATACAAACGAACTTCAAATACAGAATAGCATTTTATCTATCATGAAATCAAAGCCTGCAGTTCTGAGCAGCTATTTAATGATACAAAGTTGACTCTTCCAGAAGGCTTTCAGGAAACTGTTTCAGTACTTCATAAAGCCAAAGTACTAAACAAATACATAAATAACATGAGTTAATTCAATAGCTGAGGAGGGAAGTGAAATAGGAAAAACTCAACGATTTTTTTTCGTAAGAGGATTTAAAAACAGAAGCCTTCTCCAGAGAAATCAACTGAAGTTTAAAGACATGGAATTTAACTCCATATATTTTGTTTTCAAAATTCTTTCATACTCCCAAACAGTGCAAAAAAAAATATCAAATGGTAAGAAAAACCTGGAAAAACGTGGAATTTCAAAATGCTTAGAAGCAGACTCACCAGTCTCTTTATAATTCTCAACAAAACCTTCCGATGCCGTGTATCTTTTCTGGATTGCAGCACTTCAGCAAAGCTGTCCATGTTTTCTGGAGACATGCTCTCCTGACTGTTGCCTCCGTAGAGCTGAACCAGCAGTGATAAGCACCGTGAGGCATACTCAAATGTTTCAGTATCTTCACTGGGAAGCTAAAAATGAACAAACAGAAATCAAATTCCGATTTCACAAAAAATTGCGTATCATTGAAAATACAGAAGGGTATTAACATGAACACTGAGGCAAGAAAGAGTCGTTTCTAGTTGATTGACTCAACATTCCATTAAACTAAGCTGTATTAAAGTGATGAAAGTATAATTAAATTATATCTGCTCTTAAGCAGCAGTATAACTGCGCCTTTGTTATAATGATATCAAATGCAATATCTATACCGACACCGTAAAAGCACTCCAAAGGTTGCTCCCAACTCTCTTATTTTCAGATCATAAATTTAGCTTTAAAATAGAAGCAGTAAGATCAGAAAGTATTATTACAGTCATGATATCTAATCTTCTGAATAATGCATACTGTAAAACTTCATCTAATTATTTCTAAGCCAAGTTTATAGCTTCTGGTTGAGGTAGAGCACCTAGTTATTCAAAGGGTTTGAGGAAGTCACATTAGCAGGTGTATTTTGCAGATGGAATTTTTTTCTTTTTTTTGAGCTCTTTTCTGAATTCTAGCTTTTCTGTATTGCTTTAAGAGTGGACACTGGAGCAGGTCCTGGCAATGGGACAGAGAAACTCATGGGAAGCAAAATAATGGAAAAGATTCAGGGATATGGTTACTAGTCATCTTTAAATGACCTTCTGGTAGTATGACAGCACTGTCAAAATCATTTATATCCTTCTTGAACAAACAGTCTGGAAATCATAAGCCGAGAGATGACATTATGCTTGGTTTTGGCACTGGAGGAAGAACACCAGGAACAAAATGCCTACTTTTGGTGTACCCTGTTCAAGAAAGCTAATGAAAAAATTATAGAAATTTCTTGGGAACAGTTAAGAGGGTTAAGACTAAAGTCTTAACAGTTAAGACTGAATTGGAAAACTGAACAGGTTAAGACTGAAGGAACTCAATATATATAGCCTATTAAAGGGAGGGTTGAAGGGCACTATGATTATATTCTTTTCCTTCATGTGAGGAAAAGAAGGCTGAGGATAGGCTAATTTCTATGCATGGAAAAGGACTGGTAAGAGATGATGGCTCGAAACCTTATCTAAAGCAATTGAGATTAGAGGGAAGATTATAACTTGATTTTCTTTTTATTCCTTCTTACTTTAATAAAGGCAATTAGCCACTGAAACAACTTCCTCGGAGCTGAGACAGATTCCCCATTGCAGAGAATTTTTATATCACAATAATCTTTCTTTTTTTTTAATAGTAATAATTTTTTAAAATCTCTTTGCTACAGTGAAGAATTAACATAGAACAGTCCTACATCTTGTGTTATAAAAGATAATAGGCCAAATGATTACAACAGCCTTTTCTGGCCTTACAATCTGTAAACAGAACAAAACGTACCACTGCTTTTCTTACCAACAAGGTATGGAAGTGTGAAAACATTTTATTACTCCTACTCAATTTCTTAATTCCAAAAACATGATCTAATCACTAAGAAGCTATATTACCATATGGTTACAGCCTACCCTTACCAACAAGGTAAGGAAACAATCTGTCCAACCATTTATATAATCTCCCCAAACAATTCCACTAATGATTACTTATTTAAACTGAAGTATGAACTTCCCCATTTTTTCATTTTAAGGAAAACCCATACAGTTACTTTAAATAATCTGGAAACATATCATCAGATGAATACTCCTTAAATACCCAAGCAGTAGATCCCCAGGGATCTGCATGCAAATTCAAATCTGCTTTCCATTAGCTTCACAGAACTGGCTGTTTAAAATAGACTGAACTGAGATGTAAGCTCTGAATACATAGCCCCGAGACATATCACATTCTATTTGACCCAGTGCTATGCGAGTGACAGGACCACAGCAGCTATTTCTTTCACATCTTTGCTGTATGTTTTCTCTTCATTTCTGTCTAGGTGATGCACATTGGATTGCTTCTTTTCCAATATCCGGAATTATATCACCAACATAAATAGGAAGGCTTCAAAGGGGGAAAAACTACAAACAGTAACAAGCTTTACAGCTCTATTTATATCTTCAGTCCTTATCAAGCCAAAAAGAATTCTGTTGATCTCACTGGAGGTTTTGAGTTTACTTTTACTTCCTCCACTGAAGAAAAATTTGACTAGATAAATGATGGGAAAACTACACTGCTTTAATGTATCAGTCTTATTCCTTTTGAAAAGGGCACTCTCTAACTCACAACTGGTTATTGGGTAAGTCCAAGCAGGTAAATTAATAGCTTCCTGAAATCAAAGAATATGAACTATATTCAATTTTCAAGTGTGGTTTGTTGAATAATTAAGAAAAAAGGACAAATTTTAAAATCAAAAACAGTGAACATTTGCACAGATTACATCCTTGCCTTGGTGCTGCAGTGTAGGCTAGCTTCCTGATTTCCATAAGCACAAAATTCCACGCATAATCTATATTCTCAGTAGCCATACTTGGAAGTGAGATTTTTCCCAAGGTCTTTTGTCTGAGATATTCACTAAACATCAAACTGAGGAAAAGAAAGGTGTCAGTCTTTGCAGAGGACTGCTCCTACAGAACCTTGTATGAAGAAACACAAAATGGTTTTGCTTGCCTCCTCCTGGAATGCCCAACCTTTTACCATTGTTGTTGCTGGCCTTTTTTCCCTCAAAAGGGAACAAGAGAAAGAAAGACTCTAAAACTCTCCTTCCAGTATATCCTGGCATCAGACATTCTCACTCTTTGCAAGTTATCAAGCTGTCAGCAACCATCCTCCAAACCCAGCCACCGGCATCACTCCAGGGTTCTCACTGTTTGCCAGCTGTGGCATAATGCTATTCATTCACAAATGCTAATAATGTCCTTCATCCTCTGTTGTATTTCAGGCTCTTCTGCTTCACAAGAGACCCTTTGAGCTTTGGTATTACCTACAGTTTGGGGAGCAAGTTGCTGTCATCCTGGAAAATTGTGGGGCAAAACACAGCAAAGGTTTTGAAAGAAGACAACAACTATCTGGGATCAGAAAAGATGGGATTTACTCTGGAGTGGCTGTGAAGCATTGACCTACAGTCTAACACATCAATAATTAAGCAGGGAGAGGAATCGTCCTTCAGCAAAGCACTTACACAGAGAAAAATGCTTATGCATACATGCTCATAAGTCCTACCTTTAGACTATTTTTGTAGTAACAAGTAGTGATTCAGATGTTGTGCTATAAGCTGGTACCCTGAAATGTAACACTGGCTGCCAGTCTGTGTTAGCACTTTCATTAAGGGTAACAAAGAGCAGAGGATCTGAAGAAAATTGTTGGCATGAACAAAAGCAATGACTGAAAGTATAATAAAGAAAGATAGTAAAGCAATGAATGAAAATTCAGCTTTCAAGCAAATAGTATCACATGCCTAATAGAACAGAAAAGCTAGAATAATAATGCCAGACAAAAGAATATCGATGGTTGGTCCATCTCTTAATAAGCTGGAATAATGCTCTCATTTTTCTAATCAATTCGATATAAGGAAGCATATTCCAAATCTAATGCATTTCTAGCTTTTTGTGGCAGTATCTACTTCAGTTTTTATTCTCTGAGGGGACCAGAAATGCATGAGAAACTGGAGTTCTAACTCTATGAGAAAAGATCTGCACCCTAATATTTCATGATTACAAGAATGAACTCTAGTTGGCTTTCATTTCTTTTTTGCTTGATCTTTGAGGGGATTTCAGAATCGGCAAGGTAGAAATATTACTACTCTTACTCCATAAAGCTGTTAATATTTTGTGCTAGAGGGCATCCTGAAAAAACATTCAGCATCCTAAGATAAATTAAGGAACGACTGAACTCATCATTTTTGCCGTTCTACAGCTAAGAACTGTAGGTCTGTTTGGGGTTTTTTCAGTTCAAAATTTTAAAAGAATGCCTCGAGACAAGATTTTTGTGCAATGAAGATTTTGTATTATTTTTACCTAATTTTTATGGCCAACATATAACCTCTTGTTAACGGGCTCATAACATAAAACTCCTTTTCTAAATGGAACCTGCTTTCTGTACCTTAATAATTAATGAGCTGAAAAGCAGGTTTCTTATTATTATACATCTATACTTCTGTAGTTTGTTGTCAAAAACACCTTCATTTTGAGCCCAGTTGCAGTATGTCCATGAATTGCAAACAACTACAAGAAATGTGTGATCCTTTTGGCTGAAGTGGCAGTTTTCACACCCTTATAGTTGTTACAGCATCTAATTTTAGAGCTACAATGAAACTGTCTGGATTACCCAGAGGGGACACCATTTCAGTGCATTAATGAGGTTAAACACAAAGTGAGTTTATTACAATAAGAGATAGATATTCGTTGAACCATGAATGAGATTGCAGAAAGTGTGGCACAGGAATCACCACTGGGAACTACAGAGGAGATGATTCTACAGTCATCAAACAAAATGTAAAAGCAAAACACTACTATTAAATCTGCTACTGTACTGTTCTTATTAGTAAAAATGCGTAGTTTAAAATTAAAGCAATATATTTTGGCTTGGGGCAAAATTTTTTGTCCTATTCCTCAAGGAAAATAATTTTTAAAACAGTATATTTTCAGTTCATATTAATCCAGTCTAACTGCTGAAAAACTAAGTTCCCATTCTTAAGTTTTGTTCTTTCAACAATATATTCTTATTTCCTCTGTTGTTTTGATTGTTTGGTTCAGATGCCTTTGTGGAAGAGAATTCTTCAAATACATTCCAGAGACATTTCAAATATAATCACAGCAATATCACAGTAAGGTATTACGGGATATAATGGGTTTGACCAAGGGCAGGTCCTGCCTGACCAACCTTATCCCATTTTATAATGGTGTTACTTTGTTTGAATGAAGGAAAGGTCACTGATATCATCTATCAATACTTCAGTAAGGCCTTTCACACAGCTCCCTGTAATATGCTTCTCTCCAAATGGAAAGGAATGGATTTGATAGGTGGGCAGTCTGATGGACTGGATGTACGACCATATCCAGAGAGTGATGGCCAATGGCTCAATGTCTGGATGGAGACCAATGTCTAGTGGTGTCCTTCAGGGCTCAGATCTGGAACTGGTGCACTTCAGTATCTTCATTAGTTACATCAACACTGAGATCAAGTGCACCCTAAGGAAGCTTGCAGAAAAATGCTAAGCTCCCACCAAAAAGGACCTGGGGGTACTGGTGGATGGCAAGCTGGACAGGAGCCAGCAATGTGCCCTCACAGCCCAGAAAGCCAACTGTATCCTAGGCTGCATTCAAAGAAGAGTGGCCAGCAGGGCGAGGGAGGTGATCCTGCTTCTCTGCTCCATGCTGGTGAGGCCTCACCTGGAGTACTGCATCCAGATGTGGAGTCCTCAGTACAGGAGAGACATGGACCTGCAGGAGCGCATCCAGAGGAGGGCCACCAAAATGATCCAAGGGATGGAACACTTCCCCTATGAGGACAGGCTGAGGTTCAGCCTGGAGAAGAGAAGGCTCTGGGGACACCTGAGAGTGATGTTTCAGTATCTGAATGAGAGAGAGAGCTATAAGAAAGAAGGGGACAGACTCTTTAGTGTGGTCTGTAGTGACAGGACAAGGGGAAATGGTTTCAAACTAAAAGAGGGGAGATTTAGACTAGATATAAGGGAAAAGTTTTTTACAATAAGGGTGGTGAGGCAGTGGAGCAGGTTGCTCGAAGAGGTGCTGGATGCCCCATCCCTGGAGACATTCAAGGTCAAATTGGACAGGGCTCTGAGCACCTGATGTAGCTGTAGCTGTTCCTGTTCATCATAAGGGAGTTGGACTAGAGTCCCTTCCAACTCAAAAGATTTGATGACTGTGTGAATGCATTTTGCAGTACAGATTATAAAGCTATGTCTTCCCTCTCCAACTACAGAACTGTCTGTATTACTAAGAAATGCGAAATGAAATTCTTCACAGCCTGTAAGATTATTATTCTGCAGTTATTTTCATTATTCATTGGCAAATATCTCTCACATTCTCTGAAACCTAAGTCAAGACACAGTCTTAGAGCCAGGGGAACACTGAAAAAGAATGGACCTAGCAGGACAAGGGGAAATGGTTTCAAGTTGAGGGAGGGAAGATTTAGGTTGGATGTCAGGGGAAAATTCTTTACTATGAGATAGTGACGTACTGGAACAGCTGCTCAGAGAGGTTGTGGATGCCCCGTCCCTGGAGGTGTTCAAGGCCAGGTTGGATGGGCCCTGGGCAGCCTGGTCTAGTATTAAATGGGGAGGTTGGTGGCCCTGCATGTGGCAGGAGGGTTGGAGATTCATGATTCTTCCAACCCTGGCCATTCTGTGATTCTGTGACCTAGAAAAGATCATCTCATTCATTATGTACACCGAGGTTCTGTATTTGTCCTCTTTATATTTGCACATGATTAATTTGTCATTCAGTAGTAAACCGAGACGTCCTGAAGTCAATAACCAATTAAAAATTTTACTAGTTACACTATAATGCAGAAACCTATTACCAGAAGACAAGAAAAGTTCTCTCTCAGCAGTCTAATAAGCTCAGAAATTTAAAGGCCTACATCTAGGATCTAAATTTATAGAGAAAGAAAACTCCAGTTTACAGGTACTGGCAAGGTAGTACAGCCATTCCAGCTGTCTGAAAAGCTCAGTCAGCATAAAGGAAGCTATCATGTATAATCCGAGCCCTCTAAACTAGCAGCATAAATATTGCAGTATGCTAAGAGTTATGGAAGCCCACGTAATGAAGAATACCATGCTATTCATCTGCTGTGCTGATCAGATTAGCTAATGAACATTCAGAAGTAAATGTTTGTCCTTTTTTTAATTATGAAGTTTGAAATAGTTTCTGAAAATCTGCTGAAGTGATTTGAAACATCAGCAAACATTTAACTTTCAGAATAATCATTATGCAAAAATAGTAGAAGGGACTTTATGTATTCCATAATTGCTGCAAGTTTCAGTATAATAATCAAATTAGATTTATGTTCAAGCGGAGAAACATTAGACAAAAAAGCTAAGTTTAATTAACTTTTAAACATGAAGCTGCTAAGCAGAAGACTAAATGGTCAATTTATTTTCCTCTTATTGATCAATTAATGGCAGACTGATCATGGGATTAAATATTGAATTCTCTATATCTGCAGTGTTTTCTGCATGACAGAATTTGTAATTATTTCTTCTTTCACGTTCTTAACAACCCTGAAGTTTCATTTACATGCAATCTAGGTTTCCTACACTTGCTTTCGTATGCCCTATGTGGTAGCCTAAATCATAATTACAGAAAGGAAAAATTGATTCCAAGTTTTTGACATTTTCAAGCTTAACTCCATTGATTTCTGAGGGATTATTAAGAGAGATAAATAGATCTTCGAGAAAATAAATAAATAAATAGCCAAATCAATGGGGCACGGAACAATCATCTACTTGAGGGATATGCGCATCAGTGAGGGACAGCAATTATTCAAGGTGACATAAGAAACTATAAATATGGTAAGAAGAGTAGGAGTAGTAAACTAGAGGAAAAAAACTGAAGTGATGGTTATTTCAGAATTAAAGACATACTTTATCTCCTGAGAATGAAGCTCACAAAGAATGAAATGCCTCAAAACAGAATAAGTTCATGAAGCCTCACAGTTCAGTACAGAGCACTACTCTTGGTAGCATCACAGAACTTAAGCTCAGGCTGGTCTGTTGGTGAGGCAGGGACCATATGCCATCTTGAGAGGTCCACGAGACTTTATGACTGTGCTGGCAGCAAGACACAAGAAGGTGGTCACAGTTAGGTTGGAGATGGGAATAGTTAAGGTACTGTAAGCACCAGGTACCAGTATGCTATAAAGGAGTAACTTTGTTCTTCTGTGTGCAGAAGAACAAGGAGTTAGTATTCACCAAATGCAGTATTCTTCTTAAAGAATAAACTACTTATTGGACTGCATGATGAGTGTGGGTCAATGATGTACTGGTACACCAGCCATCAGCTGTGTACATCAGCTCACAACATTCCCCAAGCATGGCTATTCTCTCTCCAGAGTCAGTACAGCTCAGTGGTAGCAGATGCTTCCCTGCAAAGAGGTAGTCAAAACTCAATCCCTGCACATGGCATTTTAAAAAGACATCATAATAAATTAGCATTTAAAATAAATCAGCAATTTCCTTCCTTCTTACCATGCAAACACACTTTTCATATCTTTCATACTCTGGTATGATAAGAACACCTGCAGTGGCAGCTATTGAGGGTAGCTCTAAATCAGTGACACAGTTTTCTCACTAGCCCTTGCACCTGTATGCAAAAGCACCAGGAGAAACAGACTACAGAAGCGGTGCACTAAGAATTTATTCCTATGAAAAGGAATCACATTTAGATTATCTTTAACAGAACTTAACACCAAAGAAATGAAGAAGCACCAATGCTCTTTTCTCTTTACCTTATGTTAAAACAAGCAGATTTTACATAAGTATTTTCAACGTACTGGAATACGTAGAAATAAAGAACAAAGCAAAACCTAGTGATAATTTGCAGCCACACTTCTGAAATACAGGGGCAAGTCAGAATCTAATCAGTACATGCAAAGAGTACAATTATCCCATCCTTTAATTACAAACTTTAAAAAAGAAGAAAGGAAGAAAGAAGGAAAGAAATACTTCCAGGTGGTACAGGCTGAGTTAAGCCTGGCCTCTAATTTTCTGTTCTTTAGGGAGTTAATGTAATTTAAATTTATGTCTAACTTCATTTTAAAGGGGCGTTTGCATCTCTTACTATTTATCTTACATTTTTAAGTCTTACTATTTATAAGTCTTGCTATTTATCATACATAGTGATTAAAAATTAATAGAAAGTAAATTAAAAGAGTTGAAAAAGATTAAATGCTACGCAGTTGAAATTCACTCACTTTGTTTCAGGTCATTCAGTGAACATTTCCAAAAAGTCACTTGATTAAAATAAATTCATCATAATGCAAAAGTTAATAAAAAAAAAAAAAAGTACCACACTCTTCCCCAAAATAGAGGATGATCATGCTAAAGGTATGAAAAGCACTAGAGATATTTATATCACAATATAACCTATACTTAGGTGCTAAGGAACAGTTCCAAGACTGGGGATGGAAGACTATACAATGAATCTGAAATACCTCTAAGAAAAATGACACAGAAATGATAGTGTGATATGCCACTGGGAAATTCTCCCACACCATTTTGTTGAGTAAAAGGCAGAGGTAGCATTCCAGGCCCCTAAAAGCCCTGCTCAACTCAAGAAGCATTCCTCTGCTCTAAGCTATCACACACGCAGCCAACACAAGTCTCTGGCACAGCATGATGGAGTCTGAGCTGGTGGGATGCACCAGGGATGCTGTAGCTTTCTGCAGAGATTTCAGTGCAGCACTCTGATGTCTAGCAAACTCTGGAAAAAATGGACTTTAAACAGACTTAAAAGATGATGACAGGCCACTAGGGATCATTCCCACTCCTAAATCATTCACAATCACATTAGAATCAAACTAAACACTTGAAAAAAACACAGGAAGCTCAAACCCAAGAAAATAATATTAAAAGTGATCACTCGATGCAAGATAATTTTAAGTTTAATGACAGTTCTACTGGTAGTTGTAGTTGCTTTGGTAATTTTGAATTTTTGAATATAATCCTTTCTCTGTACATTAGTCCATTCTTTGGGCTACAATTTGCATACACATATTCATCACAGCCAAGAATCTGGAGCCTGCCCTTGGCCCAGTTCTAGGTTTGGGCAGATGTCACTTGTGGCCACTTGTGGTAAATCCTGCAAAAACTGTAAGTCTTTGTCTTATGTTAGGTAGAAGCTCAAAAACAGCAAAAAAAACCTGTCAAACACAGCCATAAGATGCTGAATTCAGTTGAGTAATTCCAACTTCAGCGACATTCCAATAGGCTTCCAAACAAGTAAATTCTCACCAGTTGAATAAGCAGGCTAATTAGGTCCGTCAGGGGTTTATTGATAAGCAGAAGATCTTCAGCAGCCTGCGTGTCCCCTCCTGTGCCGGATTTCTGTGCCTTAATAAGATGAGGGGAAAAAAAAACAACAAAATACCCTCAGTGACTGTTCAGTTATGAGAAACAAATCAGGTTGATTAGGTGGTCAATATTTGAACAAAAGTTCGAACGAAAACTATATACTCCCTGTGTCTGCAACACTAAGCACAAACAAAAGCAACTCACACTGCCACAGGCTGAACATACCCACCTACGTGACATTTACTCAGCTAAATGATATGAACTATATACTCAAAAGATACTTCTAAAGCCGTAAATGTTTTATGTATTTGTATTCCATTTCAACAAATCTATCTTAATAAGAAAGTTCACTCATTTTTTTTCTTCCATTATTAGAAATAATTTTAAGCACAACTCAAAAGAAGAAAACCAAGATAACTGAGAGGTTATGATTCTCAGCAGCTATGTCCACCTTTGCCCTTCTGACTTGCTTTGCATCCTGAAATATTCACAATACATAAATAGTTCAAATTATTTTAGAAATGGGAATAATAAAATCTGAAAGTGTCATAAGACCTGTTACTTCTTGGAATACCGATCATTGTCTTCCCCTTCACTGAAACAGGCTGCCATCCCAGGCAGTGCTAGTATGACCCGTCTGTGCCCCAGGGTACCAGCAAGGTCTTCTTGCAAGGTTTTTCATTTAACTCCACCATCTTGCAGCAGCTTTGGATTGTGACCCCGCAGAGTATAGCTGCTAGAGGAAAACTTAAGCATTTTATCTAGAGGACACATTTAAAATTCATTTTGTATTGCGTTTCATTTAAAGCGCAATCCTTAAGCCATCACCCAGGTATAATAACCAAGGATTTTTGTTTGGTTAAGTGAGCACAAGAGCAGATCCCCAGAGACAGGAGACATTACTGCTAGAGCTGCACTGTTTATTTTGATGAGTTGAACACACAACGCCTTTCTTTCAGGAAGAGTTCAGAAATAAAGGAGCCCCGAAGAGCCATTTCTCAGTAATAAGACACATTGGTATGTCCCTCACTGAGACTCACCACACTGCAAAAGTCCAAGAAGGGCAAATAGACACAGTGCACAGAAGAAATAAAAAAATGAGTGTTTATAGTAATCAAGAAGGCCAAGTAAGCTGCCTTCACTTCAGCAAAATTTAAAACAGATTTTTTCTGTTCAGTGTTTGAATCGGGAGTAATACGTCCTCCATCAGGGATATCTGACTGCTTCAAGTGGTATGTACTTAGTGTCTTTGAAAAGAGAATAAATAACACACAGTATTATACTCTATGTATATAAAGGATGCACACCACACTTAAACCTACGCTAAGTCACTAAACAGCAAGTTTACTTCTCAAATGCAGCTACTTTGGATCAGCTGTGGAACACAATATGACAAAACTGCTCCAGAAACAGATATCCAAATTAATCCAAACCTTAGTAATATTCTATTATAATACATATACTTGGACTACAGAGGACAAAGTCTTGAATGAAGCCAGATACAGTTATCAGCACCATCCAGCACAAAGTAGTGAAATGGGAAGGAAGTGTGCTCTCACGTTTTGTCTATCCAGTTGGATAAGGCCATCACTTTACATATAAAAAAAACAACAATAAAGATTCAGGTGGATAACAGTGGCATCATCTGCACATGTCAGCTTAAGGCCTCAGTAATGGTATTATGAGAAAACTTGATTCCCTAGTGCCGTTCTAGAAGGTATCTTATGCAGAAGAATCCCTTGAAAACAAAGAACATTTGTTACCATTACTGTGATCCATTAAGTGACACAGAAATAAGGGAATATGCTGCAAATGCATGGTAAGTAGCAACTAATTGCCATCATTCAGCAGGGCTTGCATACTGAGGTAGCTGTAGAACCCACAGGAACCCAGTGATGACTACCGCTGAGACCACTATGTCAGGGCAAGGGACCTCACCTTAAATTCATTAATTAATTTCACAGGGGTACAGGGCAGAGCTATACTTCACAGTGCCAGCTGCCTCTTATCCATTAGTCTTCCAAAGCAAACCAGATTACTTTGACTGAAGTTGTACAAAACTGGGGTTTATCAACCAACTGATGTATTCATGTAAAATCAGAATCAAGTGTGGCAATGAATGCACAGATTTAAGTTAGAATTAATGTATCTAAATAAAAGTAATGAGTTTCACTAATATTACTGTGTACAAGGTTCTCTCTCCTCATATGCACTCCAGTATAATTGGCCTCAACACTTGCACAGAGCACAAGTACAGAGCTTGGCTCTCTATGATTACATAGGCTGTTGCTAACAATATGACAATCAGCAATTAGCTTACAAAATTTGATTTGCAAAGTGATTCTTAGATGTGAAACCCATTACAGAGCCTGCTGCTAGAGGACTTGAAAAAGCCAAGGTATTGTACCATCAGATCTGAAGTATGTTTTTTCAACAACAAAAACATTCTTAATGAAATATCTGTTTGATTACAGCTGATTATTTAAATCTATGCAGAAAAAAAAGTTCAATTTTCAATACTTACTTCATACTTCAAACTTCCTTAAAAAACCCCCACAAGTATAGGAAGGCCCAGCTCTGATACACAGTACAACCTGGCTGCTGAATCTTCTGAATCTCTGTCCTCCAGATATACTGGATGTAAGAGCATTCTCTGTTCTTTAGTGGAAAATGAATTTTTAAAGTACTGTTTATAGCCCAAATACAGTAGTTGCTTCCAGCTGATGAACTACAGCAATTTGGTGGATCACTTAAAAAACAAAGCAAGCATTGCCAGTTTAGCATCATATCTGAAAAAGGACAAAATATTCTTCCTGTTTTGTTGTTAGAAGTGTTACATGCAATTTCTTTGATTAGTATCTTTTTGTGCTCCATTTTTAAGGAAGAGGAAGACTTCACTGGGAGAAGAAGCCCTATTAATGCCACGTTTTGCAGTGGTTCAAAGGGAAAGTTAAAACACTAGCAATGTAAGCACGTCGATGCACATGCAGAGGTTACATACTCTTCAAGCACAATAATCACATCTGATTCATAATGAAAAGGAACTGCTTTTTGCGGAGTAATTTTTTTTCTTTTAACATGAAGTGAAGGAAAAGACTTTGAACTACCACTGAGAAAACGTTGCATTAGGCTGTTTGTGGAGTACAGAGATGGAACATGCAGCTAAGACCTGTGTTCCCAGCACAGTGGGGCTAAAATGAATTTTCTAGCCAGGCAAATACACACATAGGGGCAAGCAGCTGAAAATACACGCTCTTCCCTTTCCACTAAACTAAAAATGTAATGAAATGAGTGTAGTGGTAAATTCACCAATAGCATTACAAGAAGGTATCTGAAAAAATGTTTAAGATGGTTATCACCCCCAGGAAATGAACTCCATACCTGCAAAGTCTGGCGCACAATGTTTGTTGTGTACATCAGCATGCAGTGCAAAATGTCAAGCAAGGACAGCAGCAGTGCATTTGCTGTCTTGGTGCTGCTTTTATCATCTGCCTCCAAGTACAGAGCCACAGTTTCTATTAGGAGATTACAGATGTGAGGAGCCAGTCCTACGCAGACAGTGAGACAAAAGGGAAAAAAAAAAGGCTATCAGGAAAAAAAAACAATTGAGAAGGTAGGCCAGATAAAAATAGTTGATTACAGAAAAACAAATTTCACATCACGATGAATATTTATTAATATTCCTTTTTTTCCTTCCATTATTATAATTACCGTCTCCTTTATTCTATTTGGAGCAGCTCATAAAGAGAGCTAAGCTGATACAATCCAATTCTCTAAGTGCACAGAGTATTATGTAACACTCACTAAACAAAAGCATAGCAGGAATCCCAAACTTTTCTGTATCAAGAAAGAGACACGAGTTTCCTTCACATTACCCCTGGTCACAAGGACCAGACAGTTCCTCCAGACTGCAACAGAACGAGGCAGCAGCTATATCAAGGTTGGAGCCTGAAGTTTTCTTTCTTAATTGGTCTGCCAATTGCAACCTTCAATTTCAACTGTTTAATTGAACAGTGTTATGCGTAGTATGAAATAGTTATGCAAGATCATTATGAAGGAAATACCAAATTCTATACCTAAAATGCATTTCAGACCCATTTGACTAGTGATAGTAAAAAGTTTCCTGAAAATACATCCTTGCCTTGAAGATTTTTTCCAGCACCTTTGGTATTCAGTAACATCATCTCCTGTAGCTTGCTTAACCCACAAATCAATTCACACATCAGACAATCCATTTCAAGGAAATACCGACTCAGTTCAGAATCCAGCTTACTTTCAAATACAAAGTAACTGAGTTCATATTATTTAATCTTAATCTTGTTCTTACAGGGTTTCATGAGGAATGAAAAACAGTTTGTGTTTCACCCAGAACATAATTAATTTGTAAATTATCTTTCTTTAAATTGGCAATTAGTCGTGCTCTGACTTGGGCACACGTCATAGCACTTCAGCATCTAAGGTTTAATCCCTGAGACTACCAAAATCAACAGAAGAGAATCTGTATCTCACTGAAGAGACTGCTTTTATAACATTTCCTTTAAAAAGTAATTGTTTGTTTCTTTACAAGCATCAGTACCAGAATAAGACATCGTAGAATATCCTGTGCAATTACACCACTAAGCTTTTGCTGGTAGACAAATCTATGGGGTGACTATTTTTTGCTTTGAAAGCTTCCCCATCAATTACTTGAGCTTCCACAAAAAGTGTTCCTCTCCTATTCACTGACGTTAATACATCCCTCAGGAAATTAAGTACAAAAACATTCATTCAGAATACAGTTACAGGTCAGGTTTGTTAAGACTTGCACTATTATATCTCACATCTTTGTGTGTTTTTATGATTATCAGCACTATTCTCCCACAATAGTTTGATTGATGGACCACGGCTCAGGCTGAGCTTTGAATTTCCTGGGTTTTTGTCTGCATGAACCACACTCTCAAACTATATCAGTTCAATCTTACACATTTAATTTCCTCCTCCTTTTTTAAAGTACAGTTTCTGCTGCGGTTCTGAACACTTCACACACAAATGAAATAGCATGCAGAGACCAGATTTAAGCGATGTCACCAATACCCACCAAGAGGAGTATAAACAGACATAACTGCACGGCTGCCCAACATAAAACTTGTGGTTACTCTACGCCCTTTTTCACAACGCTAAATTAGAAGAAACCTAAGAAAACAGCCCATGCAAAGCTGGTCCCTATCAAAGCGAGGTCTGCAAAATTGCCTGGGAGGATATGCCCAAGTACACCCTATTTCTCCCTGTATGTGACCACAAAACCCACAGCCACATCAAAATGAATGAGTCATCCCTATTTCTAGGTGGCTTACATATAACCCTTAAGACAGAATATTCACATTTACTTACTTAATGAAAGCATGAGAATTGGCAGATCGAACATAGATGCATGCTAACATATGTACAAAAATATGTACGTTAAATTTGGAGTTCTGGGGAGAAAAAACACCTTTGTCTGGGTTTACAATACAGTAGGACTCTAGAACCCATCAGAACTTTGAAATAAAGACATAAAATGAAACACTAGTGCAGTTGCTCCATAACACGCTGCATGATTCACACAGAAATCTGATAAACGCTTGATTCCATGGATAAAAATAAAACTGACTGACCTCTTGCCAAGTAAATAAAGTTCCAGACATATCCTTTATTGAGTCAGAGCAAAATCAAAATTGGAGGCCATAATTGCAGGCATGTAAATATACTCCTTGCTTATACCACAGGACAAAATACATATCCTCTGTCCTCAAAAAGAAAGTTGGGAAACTGGTAGTTTACACTGACCATGACAAAATTCAATAGAAGTTGAATGGCTTTGGACACTAACACTGTAGAGAATTGACTCAAAAAGCCATTAAAAAGATCAAGACAGATGTGCCTCAGCATTTTAAAATTCAATTCCCAAAACAGATGAAAAGAAAGAGGATGTAAGTCTAGAAAAAAAAAGGAAACTATTCACAATTTAGTAACTCAAAATAAAGAAATTGCACAGGAGTGTCTAAGTTTCATAGCATACGCTGAATTTCTGATAGATTTTACAATCAATTCAAGAACTACATGCTTAATTTACAATAAAGCCATGGCTGTCCAACTTTCAGGCTTGCCTGGGTCACACTGAGTGAACAGGAATTGCTGTGGGTCACATACAAAATATATAATAAACTTAATATATGTAAGTAAGAAAACTTATTTTTATGTATTTTTTTAATATATTTCCATTAAAACATCAAAAAAGAGAGCAACAAAACCATAAAACTAGTGGGATGTTTGACCTTGTTTCTGTGAAACTAGTGCATCAGGCTGGCCCAATGGCAGTGGTTACCACTCCTAATGAGTTCTCAACGTGCTCATCAAAGATTTCTGATTAAATATTACTCTTCTTGTGCTTCATACTTGACAATAATTGTTCACAAATGTACATGCTGCCAAAAGTGATGACACGAATAAGGTGTGACTGTGAAGTGAGAGGTATTTTTCTCTGGTGAGATAGGGCTTTATCAAAGTCAGATAAAGATACATGACCAAATTTTTTCTTTGTGTGGAATGTCTGATTGCAACTCTGTACGTTCCACGTGAAAATTTGCAGGTAATGTATTTATGTCAACCCAAAATGGAGTCACAAATATATATATATGTATAAAAAGATATATACATTTTTCTGAAATTATGAAATGCATTCTCAAATTTCTTTATCAAAATGGAAAGCAAAGCTGCACGTTTTTCACTGCTCACAGGACTGTCCTCAACCAGTGTGTTAAAATGCATGAAATTATTTGCCATCACTTGAGCTTGCCATAATTGGAAGTTTCATTTCAAACTCTATTATCTGAAACACAGAACAGATAAGCTGATTTTCACCTTGAAGACACATGTTTAACCCATGTAAATAAGTAGTCAAATCCACCAGAAATGCTAAATCTGGGAGCCATTTTTCATCTTCACGTTCTGGCACAAATTTTCCTTTTGATTCTTTAAAGGACTTGATTTCACTTTGCAAAGCCTTTTTAGCATTTTATCCTGACTTAGACACCTTCCTTCAGAAGATTAAACGATGACCTAATAATCATCATCCATACTTCTAATGAGTTCCTAGAATTGGTGATGATTCAGTTTCTTGGACATTATGAAATTCACAGATTTGATGATGACTTGCATGACATTATCCATTTCTAAAGCTTTCATGCATACATTTTCTTGATGTCTGATGCAGTGATATTTCATCAAACCATTGCTGGGGCACCATCAGTAGCTATACCTGATATGTTGACTGAGGTTAAAGAAAATAGCTCTAAAGTATTTTTTTTTCTGCTTTGTACATATCATAGATTTAGTTCAGTTTTCCAATAGCACTAAAGAAGCCATTTCTACAGTGACATTATATTCATTATCAGTATCTCTAATGAAAATAGCAAGTTGATTAGTATCAGTAGCATCAGTATTTTCATCTATCACCGAAGCATAAAATTTGAAGTTAGCAGCTTCACTCTCTAAATTTTTTTTAATAGATTTTCCTATTTCTCCAGTTCACCTGGATACAGTCTGGTGAGACATACTGATTTCAGAAAAATCAATTTATTGTTCTTTTTTTTTTTAATCAGGACACACATCTGCCATGCTTTCCATACACTGCTTTATAAATTCACCATCAGGAAATGCTTTCTTTTGCTACCACATAATTAACTTTTATAACAGAGTACGTTTGTGATTTAATTCTTTTTTTTTTAATATTTTGTTGAGATGACAAGACTACTTTCAGTTTCACTATTTTATCTTTATGTTCCTTGACATGCATTGAATTTGGCAGCATGTTTCTGCACACAATGTCTTTCCAAATTTCCATCTTTGAAAACTGATGCAATTTCCTCACATATTAAGCATAGGGTCACATGAGTTGTCAGCAACGCACTTTGCCCTCCCTGTGTCTCAGAGCTGGGCTGGGCCAAACTGTGAGACACAGGGGCCGCCATGATAATGACATGCTTGGAAAAAAAATTACCTTTAAAGGATGCACGCAATGTATTTTATGTATTTCTGACTCACATTAAACAGGCATGCAGGTTTTTTTATGCACTGCTTCTCGAAAGACACACACTATGCACCCCCGAACCTTGAAAGTGGTGGATCTGAAATAGAATTCAGTGTTACCTCTGAGAGCCAAATGGAACAAATCAAGAAATATTGTTCTACTGAGAAAAGCTATGTATTTTTAAGGATTCTAATAATTCAATGCATCCTGGCAATACTTTGTCAAAAGAAAAGAAAAGTCTTAGTGATAGCTTACATGAGTTAAACAAATGTGTCATCATTTCTTTCACCTGGGCATTTCTTATGAACAAAGTAAAGTTTATTAATTAATCACACATTTTTTTTTTTTTGTTACCCTACTGAATTGCAAATTCCAGTAAACAAAGTGATTAAAATATCACGTTGTATTGTTTATAGTTATAATTATAGCTCATTAGTCATGCCTTATATTTTGTAAAAGTCAGGAGGATCCCCAAAACACCAAACCTCAGTGTATTTCAAA